ACGTACATCTAGAGGGCCTCAGAAGTTCTTACCAGACACTGTGGGGTTCCTTCCCGACTGCAGGCAAGGGCAGCTTCTCACCCAGGAAGCTGGCTGAGGGTTTAACACAGCCTTTTTGCACCACAGCTGAAAGTCAGGAGTCAGAAACACCTGCTTGAATCTCCGGCCTCTTGTCCCTCCTTTTCCTGGGTTACGACTGACATACATCCAACTCCACATACCCACCACTGCCATTAAGGTACAGAATTCCCCCAAAATTTCCATGATCCTTTGTGATTAAGCCCTGCTTCATTCTCAGCCTCTGACCCTCAGTGATCTGTCTGCAGTCCCAACTGTTCTGTATTTTCTGGAATATCACATAAATGGAATGAGGATGAAACACAGCATCATGCTTTCAGGATACTTCTACTCAGTTGTCTGAAGGCAATTCACTACATTTTACTGTTGCCAGCAAAGACCTGGCAGCAAAAAGTCCAACTGAAACTAGCTCATTTGACAGGACATACCCTGTTCAATCTTGGCTCACTGACTTTAAGATGGCATCACTGTCAGGGAGATGGTGATGGTGAAGGTGATGGGAAAGCCAGGACTGAGTCTCAGATGTGCAAAGCCATGCCGTCGAGATCTCCCAGGTGACCTCAGTGTTGACTGGGAGGGAATGGGAGTGCTGTGGTTTGGAACTAATGTGTTCATAAGCTACAGAACCCTAGAGAATCAGGTCATGGCAGAAATGGTCAGAGCCCAAACCTGAGCCCAGAGCTATCCAGCCTTCTTTCTACAGCTCCAGTGGCTTCCAACCAAATCTGTCGAGAAGGCAAGCACTGCCAGGCCCACCCAAGCTGTTTCATGGGCTGGAGAAGCGACCTGAGGGTCACAGATCATTCCTTGTGGTCTGCAGAACCAGGCAAGGGTCAGTGCAGGAGAGGGACCTTATCTCATACCTGCTGAGCCAGCATCTTTAAGGTGTGTGTGTTTTGAGCAAATGTCTCAATAGGTGATTCTATGATATACAGCATCAAAATATTCCCCAGAAAAAACAAAAACACATCAATTTGTCCCAAGCAATGGTGAGAACTAGGTACAAACACATTTCTCTTCCAGAGAAACATTTTTCCTCTAGAGTTGCCTAATAATATTAACTAACTGTTTTCCCCTTTGGCTGCTGGTACAACTAAATCTCTCTTCCATGTCAGATACCTCTGCAGCAACACAGAGTAACTGGATCCACCTGCTAAATTAAAAAAAAAAAAAAAGGCAAGAAGTCCACCTGCCCTGAGTGCCAAGGGTGACGGCCAGGAATTCAGTCCTCTGGGTCTCCTCTGCCTACCCACCCACGGAAACTTGGCAAATCCACTGTGTGTTTTGGCTCTTCAGGGGTTGTTACTCATGGAAACCCTGAATCCACATGAACACTCTTTCCTAAGCCAGATGGAGTTTCCATTCAGACAATTCTTGGCACCAGTTTCTTCAGAACAATAGCGAGTTAAAGGCAGGACCCAGGAAGGCTCTGTGGGGTTGGTAGCTGGTGCTATGGGCCAGCACTTGGCTGACAAAGGCCAAGGCACCTTGATCATCTGTTTGCAATCTAGGCTGCCCTGTCCAGACACTTGTAAGAATGATCGGTGCCTAAGTCAGTGTAGTCTGATTAAAGTCAGAAGTCACTAAACTGAACGTGAACAAAAGGAAAAGTATAGCTAGTCTTTCTCATTTGTGATTCCTCATGGGATAATTCAGCCACCCAGAGAGAATATTCAGCCTCAAAAACTACATCTGGGGGGCAGGTGCTGTGACATATCAGGATAAACCCCACTTGTGACATCTGCATCCTTTTCAGAGTCCCTAGGATCAAATCCCGGGCTCTCTGCTTCTGATTCAACTTCCCTGTCACCCAGGTGGGAGATTCAATGGAGTTTCAGGCCTCCCTGCTTTTGCCTGAATCAGTCCTGACTGTTATGGCCAACTGGGCAATGCACCAATGATGAAAGAGGTCTTTCTCTGTGTCACTGTTTTTCTAGTAAGTGAAAATAAACATCTTAAAAAATTGCATCTGTACTCAACAGTGTAGACTTCTCTTACATTTATTCCCTGAACAATACAGTACAACAGGCAGTTTACACAGAGATTGCATAGCCTTAGGTATCATAATCTAGAGAGAATTTAAAGAATATGGTGCTGGACCACTTCATTTGGGGGACTTGACCATCCAGAGAACAAGGGATGCACAGGGGTTCCTGACACCCATCCCCAGGGATATGGAGGAAGGACAGAGTGTGGGAAGGATGCAAAGACACCTTACAGAGTGTAAGGGCAGATGTGGAGGCTGGGCCTCAGAAAGATCACCATGAACTGCAACCCAGAAGAGCTTCCTGGAATGAAACAGCTATTCTGTGTCTCTCCTTGTCACACTCAGCTCCTTGAGGATGGACCCTTCTCTGGGACTCTCTTTTGAGCAACTTCAAATTCCCAGCCAGACTGAGGTAGGTCCAGCTCTACTCAGATGTCAGCCCTGGTGCATTCCAGGGGGTGGTCCCCAGGCTGGTACCACTTGGCTTCTCATCTCCAACAGAGTTTATGGCATCAGAGATGAATTATCTGTAAAGAAGCATTTTTGTTACATTATTGCCCTCTCTTCCTTTTGCTGTCGGCTCCTCATTGTCTTTTCCTCCATTTTACCACCTGGCGTAAACTCACCTGTCTCTTGGCGGCACTGTGGATTGAAGTCTGTCTGTTCCACACACCTCCCTCCAGGGCTCACTTTCTGCAGGGGCTGGGCGGACAGGAGATGGTTACAGGGGCAAGCACCATGTACAGCCTCAAGGCTGGGCAAAGGGGCTCTACCTGGCTGTGTGGATATGCTGTTCTGTTTTGCCAAGTTATGTTCCATGTAGTTGGAAGTGGAAGGGAGAAGCAAGCAGAGAAGGAAATGTGTATTCAACCCTCCCATTGTCCAGTGCCTGCGAATAGTCACAGCTTTAAAAGGAAAGCCAGAGAGTAACGCTGCTCTGTCCAGATATGTCTGCCTCTGTGTTCTGGGTATCTTGGGTTTCCTGGTCTATTTTCTCACTCCTGGAAATGCTGGGGAGGTGTATGTGGGAAGATCCATTGATATGCCCCCATCAGCCATTGCTCAGCCCCACCCACCCTTCTCACAGCTGGAAGCTGCTCTACCCACAGAAGAGCCCAGCCTGGAGTAGACGCCTCCCCACTCTGCTGGTGGTGATGGAGGCCACCGCTGGGCTTCGGCTGGGGGCGGGCATTTCTAAGTCAGCCAGGTTATATAAGAGGCTTTTTGGTTGTGTTTCTTTCATTTATTTTGGACTTGAGGATGGTTTCCTTTTACTTTTTCCCTTTTCTCTAACCACCGTATTCACCCACTATTTCAAAATAACCGAGAAATAACAAGAGGCATATCATCTCCCTGCAGTGGACAGGCCCACTGTGGTGATCACTCAGGCATACCATGGACACTGGCTCCAGGATTCCTCTTTGCTGCTGCATTCTCTGTCTTAAAGAAACAGTGCTGTGAGTGCCACTAAGGACCCTCCCTTCCCCAGCCTTGCTGCCCAGCCTGAAACAAGACCCACGTGCCTGCGTGTGTAGATCCACAGGCAACCTAAACGATTGTGTGCGTGTGGTTTGAATGCACACAATAGTATGGCATGCATCTATCTCACTGTGCAAATCGTCTTTCGCCATCCACTGTGATTTCCTGATTTAAGGCCGTTGCTCCCTAAGCTCATTCTTCCTAGAGCAGCCTGGTGTTTGTATAAACTCCAGCTCATCCAATTCTCCTGCTGTTTTTCGCCATTGTAAATATCACTTCCATAAACATCTTCTTGGGCGCAGACTCACTAATCCCTGGAGAGTGGACAGCGAGCAGCAAAGCTGCTTGGGCAGTATCTGACTTTCTAGGTCGATTTCAGCAACGGTCAGCCCCTCACTGCCACTTGCTTCATCCATGAACTAAGTCCCCAGCTGTGACCCTGTGATGTGGCCCTCCAGCATATGGCTGGCCTAGAACTAGAACTTTGTGGGAGCCACCAGAGAGCCCAAGGCCAGCCCGGGATGGCCATGGGCTAGGGGTATCCTCCAAGCCGGCGCCATCGCTGGGTAGAAGTCGCCTTGCAGAGGCTAAGGAAAGGCCATGGTGAATCCCAGGCCGGACACCTGGGATTCGTGTAGCTACGGATGGAACTGCGCGGGATGGGAGATGCGAGGAACAAGGCGGCAATGCCAGTAGATGACCGAGACCCAGGCAGGGGCAGGCGCGTGGGTGAGGTCGCAGGCGCCTCCGTGGCCAATGGCTGGGCGGCCGCTCCTCCTACGGGGCGGAGCGCGGGCTGCAGGCTAGACCGGGTACCAGCGACGCTGCATCCCTGCCGCGCTCCGCACCCGCCGCCGGTCCTCCTTAACGTTCCGGCTCCGGCGGCTTGGTGTCGGCCTTGCGCCCAGGCTCAGACGGGTCCAGTGGGAGAAGCAGCTCCGTCCAGTCGAGGTGAGTGAGAGGAGGCGGCGGGGTTGGAGCGACTCAGCCTGGTCTCGCCTGGGTGGGGGCAGGGCGGAGCGCGCCAAGTGCGGTGCCCACCACCACAGAGTCGAGCAGAGGCCAAAGAAGGGAGTGGAGGTCAGCAGGCTGGAGCTGCGTCTTGGTCCCGTTGGGGAGGGAACCCAGGACGGAGCTGAGGTGAATGCAGTGGAACGGGAGAAGGGAGCTGTAGGTGAGGGAGACCCGGGTTGGGTGGCTCCGGTGAGGAGGTTCAGAGCTGAGCGTAGAAACTAGGAGCGGGTGAACTATCATAGGGATCCAGGAGCCAGGCTGCAGCGCTGGAGCTGCTGGGGACGCCTTTGTCCCGAAGGGTCGCGTAGCTGAACCCGTAGGAAATTGTTTGCTCCGCTCTGATGAAAAGGAGGGTTGGTGCGGGGCTAAGGGGTCCAGTACGCTGTACCGGGGCTCGCTATTCCGCGAGCCTCTAACCGTGCTCTCCGACCCACAGGCGGCGGCCGAGGGCGCAGAACGGAGATGCGGCGGCTCGTGCGCGCGGTGCTGTTCATGCTGCTGGTGGCGGCGGCCCCCGCGGTCCCCGCGCCAGCGCCCACCGCCACCTCGGCTCCGGGCGAGCCAAGCCCGGCGCTCAGCTACCCGCAGGAGGAGGCCACTCTCAACGAGATGTTCCGCGAGGTGGAGGAGTTGATGGAGGACACGCAGCACAAACTGCGTAGCGCAGTGGAGGAGGTGGGTGCAACCAAGAAGGGCGCGGGGTCCGGGGTCCTGGCTGCAGCACCTGCTGGGGAACCTTGCCTCTCGCCACTGACGACAGTCTAAGATCCGGATCCCAACTCCACTTGGTGCTGCCTTCCTGCCTGGAGGTCTTGATCCACAGTTTCCAACTGGACACCTCCCCATCCCCCGCCCAGCAGCCGGGGTCACCACGCTGCCGTGGTCTTCAAATGTCTCTGGTCACTGCCTGTAGTGCCTGGTGCTCTCAAGGCCATAGAAGCCAGGAGCCAGGGTGCAGCGCTGGAGCTGCTGGGGACACAGCAGTTCCACGTTGGAGCTGTGGGCGTTGAGCGCATGCTACCTCCTGGAGGTGTACTTGGGATGCTTGTCCAGACAAAGTGACCAAGTGCCCAGCTTTGCCAGCTTTCTTTCTGGGCCATCTTGCCTCCCCTCAGTCTGGTGGGGGACAGGGAAGGCAGATAAGAACCCTAAATCCCAGGGTGGTCGGTGAGCATGTTGAGAGGTTACTCTGGGGTTCCCGTCCCAGCTTTCAGCCCTGCTCTGCCACTTGACAGTGCTGGCCTCACCCTCAGCTTCCTGTGAGAATTCAGTGTCATGGATATCAATGTGGGCACTTGGTGAACAGTAGTGGGCATGATGTAGCGGCTGTTATCAAATACCTGATATGGTGGCTTGGCTTTTGCTGGCTGCTTCCTTCGCTCACTTCCCAGGGCCAATGCTGGGACTGGCATCCTATTCTACCCTCTCTGGTAGGTCCCCCTGTAGGCTGCCAGGGGTGCAGGACACCCCATCCTGATGTGGGGAGCTGTCCCTGGTGCCCAGATGGACAAGCCTGGTCAGTGTTGATCTACACCTGTTTTGCGGGGAGAAGCCATCTCACTTAAGAAAGAATCAGAGAGAGCCCAGTTGTCCCAGCCTCCACAGGTCCTTGGTGAGGCCAGCAAAGCCCTGCACGTCGTTGGCTGTTGTCTGCTGAGGAAGGTTGCTTTCCCCTGCCCCAGCCTCCCCCACAGTCCTCCCCTCCCACCTGCACACTCCCAGCACCGTGCAGTTTGGGAATGCCTCTTCTTCCATCCCAGTATAATCAGCTGGCAGCCTAGAGGATGCTGGATTGGGCAGCAGTGACCTGAACGACTGCACCTAAAAGTTCTCTGGTCAGGCCTAGATGCCAATTCAAGTGCTTTGCCTTTCCAAAATGTGAGAGAGAGGGATCAGATCGACCCCAGCATGGTTAACTCTGAGTCTCCAAACTGAACTGAGCTCCTCACCCTTCGAGTCCTGACTCTTCCTAGGTCCTCGCTGCATGCATGTGACCAGGATGCATGACAGGTTGGAGAGTTCGTGTCTGGGGCCTCTGATGTCAGCTCCTGTGGAGGGAGAGAGCAGCCGGGGTCTCTTCCATCTCCCCATGGATTACAGCAGACTGTGGTGGCTGTGTCTGCTCCTGGGAAGTGACCCACACCAGGCTGTGCCAGGATGCCTGTGTGTATAGGCTGGCAGGCTGTGCCATGAGAGGATGGGGTGACTGTCCCCTGCCTCAGTCAGCAGCTGTTGCCCACAGAGTGTTCTTGCTGGCATGGGGACAGGATGAAAGAGGTTGAGCACCGTTAGGGTAGGAGAACTGGCAGGTGGGAGGAGGATCCACTTTCCTTCACTTAGACTTGACACTGTCACTCTTTAGTGGTGGGATTCAGGGGTTTGAAAGAAAAACATCCACCCCTTAGAATAAAGGGAGAATTCAGCGAGAGGGTGAGAGTTAAAGCTGCCTTAGCCATCTGACACTGGTTAAGAAGCTGATTTGGACCCCTGTGTGCTATATGCTGCATGGCCTGGATTCCCTGTGTGAATCCACTCCCACTTTCAGCTTCCTGCCAGTGCACACTCTGATTACAGCAGCAGGTGGTGACTCTAGCAGTTAAATCAGCACTGCCCACAGGGTGCACCTGGATTGCATTCCTGGTTCTTGGCTCCAGTCCTGGCCATAGCAGGCATTGGGAGAGTGAACTAGTGGATCTTGGTCTATGATGGCCTCGTGAATTAAAAATAAATAGAAGGACACTAAAACCAGTGTTAAACAACATAGGTATATACGAGTAGCTTCCTTGTGCTACTGTTGTAGAGATCCCATGAGCTTGCTGTTCTTTAATAAGTAATAGCTGTTGTACTCATTGCAGAAATGGTGATTTGAATAGAACAGAATACCTTCTTAGTAGAGGGTAGTTGCTAGTATGGTAAAAGAGACTTCCAGAAAGCCCCTTAAATCTTACAAGCACAGAGCAGCTGCCATTTAGTTGTTTTCTGAGGGAAGGAACACAAAGAGGGGCCAGACACATTAATTATTTATATAGTTGCATCATGAATCTGCTTTCAAGTAACTTCTGACATGCTATATATTCCAGCTGACTCTACCTCCTGGAACTGGTCCTGGGAGAAGCCAGCCCCCACAAGGTTTGCCTAGCAGCTTCTCCTGTTGGACCTTTCCCTCTGGGTTACTATGTCTTCTACCCAAATTGGCACCTCGGTCACTGGCATATGTTAGAGAGTTCTTCTTGGCTGACCCGTCCCTCCCATCAAGACTGGATTTCCCCCAGTGCATTTCCGACTGGGTACCCCTTCCCCAGACACACAGAATGGACCCACTCCAAGGGCCATGGGTCAGCATTCACATCCCTCCCCCTGAAGCAACTCCTCTTGCTGCAGGCCCAGGTCCTCTCAGTGGTGGCTGTAATAGTTGTGGTTGGAATTTCCATTGCAGACTCTACTATTAGTCTGTGGTGCTGTTATGGAGCTGTTAGCTCATTCTGTTGAAATAACCACTGGTGGAGAGGCAGGGAGGTTTTCACAAAAAGCTAACCTGCTCAACTCATAGTACTCTCTAGACTTGGTAACTTGACAGTAGTTTGAAAGCCTGACTGTAGAGTTTGGGTTCCAGTGGGATTTTTAAAAAACATGCGAACATTCCCCCTCCTTCTGGATCAGCAGTTTCTTCATCTTTTCCAGCTGAGTCTTTCCAATCGAGAAACATGCCAGGATCACTTGATTTAAAAAACAAAGTCCATCTGTCTCCACTCTTGGCTCCTTTCTTTCTTCTCTACTTCATTGGAAAACTCTTGACACGCATGCTATTCACTGGCGGCTCATCCCACTTCTGAAACTGTTGTCTCAAAGCACAATATCATTATGTATTTGCTTTGTGGCAGGCTCTTGGATTTCATGATCCTTAGTGTTTCTAGCCACTCTACGAAGTGTTATCATCCTCATCTGATGATGAGCAAGCAGAGTTGTGGAGGGATTGGGTGTCTTGTCCAAGGCCACGTGGCTACTCTGGGATCAGACACTCTGGTTTGACTGCAGAACCCTGGCACTTCCCACTGTGCAAACTCTGATAACAACAGAACAGCCTGCCTTACCTGGGGACCACCTAGAAACAGCCTCCTCCCCCTGCCCCAATGTAGCTGCCTGTTCCAGGACTTGCTTCTAGCCAGTTCTTGCTTTCAAAGTTACCATATAATTTACCAGGTAGTTTTTTTGCTTGTTTGTTTTTTGGTTTTGGTTTTTTTTTTAAAAAAGAATTTTCTGCAGTTTCTTAGGGCCCAGAATAGAGTCTTTTCTTGGCAGCAGGGAGAGGGGAGGAATGGGAAGCACTAAGAATCACCTGAGTGGTTCCTGGACACTGGGGGTCCCATTTCCAGAAATGTTAATTTAGCAGATGTGGGAGGGTGCCAGGTATGTCTATAAATGTGCCCATTTCCCAGCTGCCTGATCTGTGTGACTGATATTCTCACCTGCTTGAGAACTGGGCTAACAGCCTGTTCCTTGGAGCTGCCCTTGGGTCTGCCTCCTGACCTCTCCTGCACCCTGCTGCCACTCCCTACCCCCTGCCATTTATACCTGGACCCCTGAGGGGCCTCCTCTGCAGCCCATAGCATGCACCACACATCCAGGCTGCCACTGGGTTCTTCCTGAGCCCTTTCTTCTGTCTTCTCCAAAACCCTGGCTTGCTTCTAAAGGCCCCCAAGAGGCCCTCTTCATACTCACCAGATGACTCTGTGTGTGAGTGCATTGAGAAAGGCACGGGATTTGTGGAGTCAGACCTATCCAAGTCCTAATCCATGTATTGCTACTTTTGGTTACAAGATGATGTTAGGAAGCTCCTGCCTGCCTCTTATCTGTGAAGTGGGGTCACTTCTACCCTCCTCACACGTGGCTGTGAATATTTAAGGTACCTGGTGCAGCGACTCAGGCTTCGCTAAACAAGGGAGCTGTTACAATGATGATGGTTGATCGTCAATTCTGTGATCTAGCTGCAAACATCCAGTGCTTATCTTGTGTACCCAGCGATGTCTAACTGAGTCCTGCTGTGTTTAGTCCTGCCTTAGTCCCTACCAGACTCTCACTTTCTGCTGCATAGAGGCAGGACATTCCTACCCACATCCACCCAGCTCCGCAACTCTAGTCGGTGAGGCAGAAAGGGCAGGGAGACTGGGCTAGTACCGCAGTTGTAGAGGACAGAGATGTCTTTAAAACAGGAAAGCACTTGTGAAGGCTTCATTAGGGAATAAAAATAGCCCAGAGTCAAAGATAACAGGATTGGAAAATTGCCAGCCCCCAAGGAGAGCTTCTCTTTGTGTCTCTCATTGTGAATTCCTAGAGCATATCTGATTGGCTGAGCTGGTCTGCGATGTGACCTCTTTTGGGTCTAGACAGCTAGGAAGCAGTCTCACGTGGACTTGTTACTTAGCAGGGTTTGGGCAGGGACTTGCATCTGGGAGTAGAACAGGAGCTCACTAATGTGTCTGGTTGAGACTCAGGGGGTAGATGAGGCTGGAGGGTTTGAGACAGTGGCTTCAGAAACATGGCAGACGCACAGATATTTGTAAAAGCTAGCAGGGATGTGGACTTCGAGAGCTCAGCAACTCACCCTCTGCAAGGGTCCCCAAGTGGTGGGGTGGGGAAGGGATCTTAACAGTGGCCACAGCTGCAGAGGATAAGGAACCATCTGCTGGGAGGTCCCTGTGCCCCTGCCACCCAACAATGTATTTGAGAAGTGTGATCCTAGAATGTACTAGTGGGAGTTGGCAAATGGGATGGAAGAGAAGAAGGGCCATGAGGGGCTGTAGGTTCAGTCCCATCGTGAACTACAGAAGCCACACACCTTAGCCTGTTTCCATGTTGCTCAGGGGTTCCTGGCACTTGGAGGTCTATGAAGACTGAACCTGCTTCTGTGGGCCAGAGAAAGCTACCATGTTCTGGGCCAGATGTTGGCATGGTCAGCGGTCTCCAGATTAGGCTACCGGTAGATGGCAGGACACTGGTAGCATCTACATGTGGAAATATGTTCAGATCCAGACTCTGCCCTTCACTGATGGTCTTGGAATTGATGCAGACTCCATGGAGCCTAAGTTTCCCTGTTAGCACCCACTGCCCAGGGAGATGCTAGGGTTTACAGGCTAGTTCTCAAAGTATCAATTACAAAGTCTTTTTGGACCCAGTGGGTCCTCCATTAATGGCATCTGTCATGGTCACTGTTCTTTGTCATCGGACTCCCCTTTGTAAAAAGAAAAAGCAGTTTGGCTAGTAAAATTCATTGATCCAACAGATGGAGGCAGAAGAAGCTGCTGCTAAAACACCTCTGGAAATAAACCTGGCTGATCTGCCCGCCAGCTATCACAACGAGACCAATACAGAAACCAAGGTCGGAAATAATACTATCCACCTGCACCGAGAAATCCACAAGGTAAGGATGCTCGTGACTGGCTTCCTCTTCTGCGATGCCCACCGCTCAGAGGACTGCGGCCCTTATTACACACAAGCCAGAGACACAAACGAGAACAGTCAAGTACAGAAGAGAAAGCAGAGGGGGTGAGGGTGCTGTTTGACTGGGGGTGGGGTTGGATCAGGAGCCTGAATTGCTTCTGCTCTTAGGCAGCAAATTTAACTTTAGGCTTGCTGCCAGTCCAATTGCAAAGGAATGTTCCAGGGTTTTTATCATCTGTAAAGAGGAAGCTAACACATGTCTATAGAGCTGTTGCCCGGGTATTGAATTTGAAGAATGTATCTTGTGTGTATTTATGTGCAGCTCAGTTGGGAGTTGAAATAGAGATGTATGGTGGTGAATGGTTCCCCATTGCTTCCTTTGGAGGGATTTGTGTGAATTCTGTCCCACCAGGAGCTCAAGTACTCATTTATTGGCTGGTTGTCTGTTCAATAGCAGACATTCCCCTCCTCCAACCTTCTACCTGAATTCAGTGTTCCTTGGTGTGATATCTTACATAAGGAACAAACATGTTGATCCCTGTTCTGGCTTGCTGGAGAACATTTTGTAAAACCAGAGGAATCCAGCATTAGCCCGTCCTGCTGGGATACGTCTCCTGAGTGGTGGTGTCGGGGCAAATGATGCCATTATGTGTTATGTGCCATGCTCAGGGTTGTTGTTAGAAGTCTTGAGTAGACTTCTTTTGTGAATGTCGAGGCCACAATGGCTCTCCAGGAAAGAGCCCAGCGATTGTTCAGGTGTCCAGGTAATTACTTGATGGGAACAGTAGTGCTGCTGTGCCATCAAGCAAAAGGGGGTCAATTCTTACAGACCATTGCCTTGACCATAATGTAGCTTTTGTGTGGCTCTTCTCCCGCTGTGGAGGGAAGGGCCCAGCTAAATGCAACAGCTTTTGAGTGTATCTCCCTCCCAAAACCCCGGCGAATGAATGAGTTCACCAGCTCAATGGAATCTTTTAACATTGCTCATCTGAAGGCTGGAAACTGTTTCCAAAGGGGTTATTTTGTTCTTGTCAAAGCCAAGGTGAAGTCATCCTTTCTGACAGTAATTAGCCTATGATTTCAGCTGCTCCCTAAAGTGCTTCCCGTGATTGTCGGAGGACTTGAATGTGGGTCCTTCCAATAACTAGTGTGATTTCAAAAAATGCTCAAATGTCCTGGTCCTTGCTAACTGCATTTAGGAAATGAGGATATCAGCATCTACATGGTAAAATGATACATATCACATAACATGAATTATATGAAAGTTCCTTGGGGACCAGTGTGATGTCTCAATTGGCTGTCCTCTGCCTTCAAATGCCAGCATTACATTTGGGCACCAATTTATGTCCTGGCTGCTCTGCTTCCCATTCAGCTTCCTGTTTATGGCCTTGGAAGGCAGCAAATGATGACCCAAAGCCTTGGGACCTTGCACCTGTGTGGGACATGCAGAGAGAAGCTCCTGGCTCCTGGCTCTTGGCTTTGCATAGACTGAGCTCTGGCCATTGCAACCATTTGGGGAGTGAACCAGTGGATAAACATCTGTCTGCCTTTCTGATAGCAATAAATTATTCTCTAATTTTTTAATAAATAAGTTTTCAAAAAAAAATCCTTGCAGACTGTCAAGGCCTGGGCAGAAGCAAGTATTTTTCTTGCTAAATTGTCTTTGATCAATAGAGAGTAGAAGTTGTCAAGTGGGTTCCACGGGACACCACTTCTTGTGCAGTGCTTCATGAAAAAAGAGGCTGTGCAGCAATGAAACAGTTGGAAAACATATATATTTAATCTCCTCCTAGAGATTTAAAATCTATAATAGTATAATTAAGGTTCTGAGAAGTGAGGCAATCCATCCTTACAAGACTATAGAATTTCAAAAATTTGTAGGAATGATTCATCCTGTAAAAAGATTGTAGGGAGGAAGAAGCTCCCTTCTATTTTGGGGGGAGAAGAATGACAGTTCAAGATATAAACACATGATTAGGAAGACAGTTCTTGCCACCTCAGAACTAGGATCCAACTGATTCTTGCAAGCCACGCGAAAGTTGTGGCTACCAGCTCCCGGAGCTTGAAAATCCTGCAGAAATGAGAAAATGGTGAATCAGGGAAGATGAATGTTCCACGATGATATACAAGGTGGTTTTTGGCAATTGAACCACAGCTCACGCACAGATGCCTTAGCTCTTAGGCCAAGTCAAACAGTAGACATGACTTTTGACAGGGGTAGAATTGCCTGGACTCCATGTGGGATTTAGCTTTGAGGTGCTTTGCACCTGCACCTAGTTACAGAATCCAAGGCAGGCAACAGGTGGAGAAATGCTGTCACAATCTCTGTGGTACCTTGGCACTTTTTCAGTGGCAGGAAACCATTTACAGAGGAAGGAGTGGGGCTGCAGCCATGGAAAAATGCTGTCTTCTCGGGAAAGATGTCAGCCCACACCAGCTTTGTAACACATTACAAAGAGAGGTGGCTGGCATTGAGCTCTTAGAATGCTATCAGTGGCCCTGGTTGCTGAGCAGGTGCCAGGGGTTGGGTTCTGTGGCGAGCCCTGTCCACCCTCCTTTTAGCTCTGTCATTGTCTTCCACACCATACCTAGGCAGCTGGGCACATGGTGGCCACCAGGAGGACTCAGAAAGGGACAGTGGACACTTGCCTATCAACTGCATGCTCTTGCTTCAGAATAAGGTGGCAATGGGATGGGGAAACAACTAAAGAATAACCAATATGTGGGATTTGCCCGGGTTTTCTTCAGTTTCACTTTCCTTTTACCTGTCCTCCTGTAGGTAACCAACAACCAGACTGGACAGATGGTCTTTTCCGAGACAGTGGTCACATCTGTGGGAGATGAAGAAGGCAAAAGGAGCCACGTAAGTACTCAGCTCAACTGTGCTTGTGCCCTGGGCCTGCCAAGGTGGCCCGGGACTGCAAACCCTGGGCAGAAGAGCTGACTCTCCTGCTTGTTCACTGCCTTGTTCTGTCCCCCTGCCTTGCCTGATTTTCCAGTTCTCATGCTGCTGACTGGCAGGTACTGGCTGCTAACAGACTCCGAACCCTGTGTGCTTAGCATCAGAAACAGCAGTGAAATTCAATTCTGTGGTCATTTGCCTGCCCGTATCTCAGCCTCAGAAGTGGAGCAAGCCAGCCTCAGGTAGATTTATTGGAGTGCACCAGACAGGGAAACCCCCTAATTCCTCCGTGTTAAAGTCACTGGCCTCCTGCCCCAGGCCAGAGGTGACTCAGCTGCCCTTTCTCTTCTCAAAGAGAAGAAACACTGCATGCCCTATATGGGCATTACCAGGATCCAACCTCCCTTTCCATAGCTGCCTTATGTACACCTGTTCTTTCAAGGGCATCAAGGTTTGCTTTCACCTCCTCTGACCAGTGGCTACAACAGAACCCTCTCCTGATCATAGAAAGGCCATGCCATCTTGGGTGGCAGATGATGAGTTTTTCTGCTCTGATTTGGCTCCGTGCTTGGTGCTGGGAGCAAGGTGACATTTACGGCAGCCAGCATTCAAGAAGGCCTGGACTGTGGTGGGAAGGGCTGTGTGCTGATGGAGGCTGAAGGCCTGTGTTTGTTTCCTGTGAGCTGAGGATACTCAGTTTCCTCCTCTTCAGGCATGCTCAGGTCTTCTACCATCTTAGAGCCCTGAAGATACAAAAGCCCATGGAACAAAAACAGGCTGTGTTTAGGTCTGGAAGAGAGAGAAACCAGCTTTCCAAGGTGTGGGGAGAAAGAAAAGGAAGCAGTACAATAATGAGGCAGCCACAGGATATAACTGTGGTTTCTAGAGGAAAAGCTTTAGAACATTCCAGGTCTAAGTGTGTTTGGAGGCCTAATGAGGGACAGAGGTCTAAAGCAGGAGAGCTGTGGTGGTGGAAAGAGTGGGGGAAGGAGCTTGCAGAGTGAAGGATTAAGGAAAAAGCCTTGTCTCAAACTGTAGAGGAGTGGGTTTAGTTGTGCAGGGGTACAGCTTTACAGCTTGGCTCTGTGGTAGCAGCCCCACCTGTGAGCACAGCTGTGTAGCCAGGGAACTGAGGGACAAGCGGGGTGGCCACACACACCTTCTGTGTGCGTCCCTTCACTTCTGGGATGAAGCATATGTGGCGTCAGGTTTCAAGCAGAGACAGTGGAAACCATGAAAGTAATGAGCAGGTAAGAGACAAGACCTCCACGATGCTAGGAGCATGCTTGGGACAGGGGACTTCTGCATGCACTGTCGTGTTGTGAGCTGGTGCCAGCTTTCCAAAGGGTGCAGGAGTTGTGTGCCCAGACTCTCCATGCTGCCCATAATGTGATTAAGGGGAGTCGAGGGCACTTCAAAGAGTTTGTGGAAAAAATGGAATTAAAGCCAAGTTTCTTTTAGTGCAAAAGTTTTTTTGAAATCTGCGGATCATTTTTTCCTAATGCCTTGCCATGTTTTGAAGACCCTCTTCTGTGCACAGATTTTAAAGTTTTGGACACCAAAAAATGCTTACCTTTGAATTCTGTTTTTTCTTTTTCCATGAACTTTCTGAAACACCTCCTCGTACCCTTGGACAGGGCATAATCCGAAACCCTGCAATAAGATAGTCCTAAGGATGCAGGAGATTGGAGAGATGCAACAGATCCAAGAAACCCAGAAACAGGCGTTTATCCAGGTTTCTCCTATTTCCCAAGCCCTTGGGATAGGAGCACATTGGGTTTTTCTGGAAGGAGAAATGCCAGTTTGATGGGCTTGAAGGCACATCTGAGGCATATGATACTTAGGAGTTCTGGTGTCCAGCCAATCACACGTGGCTGTGGAGAACAGACTGGACACTTGGCAAGTCACTTGTGGCAGGGGTTGTCATGTGGCAGCAATGCTGGCAGGTGTGGGGGTGCCCCACTGCAGAACTTTGCTGCTTGTCAGGGTGGTTTGCCCAGGGTCAGGGGTACATGACCCAGTTTCCAGTGCCCCCAAGTCCTTCCATTGCTCCATTTTGCGTTTCTGGGGTCTCCATCATCCTAATTCGCTGGAACTGGTACTCAAGCCCCACCGTCCTAGCCGCACTGAGCTACATTTCCTGAGCAGGAAGCTGCAAAGATCAGGTTGCTTACCAATCAGTGTAGAGGGTGGTATGCTTTTGCCACTGTTCCACTGCAATGGCTGTGCAACCTACTCATTTTTGCCGCCGGTCCTAAGCTGTCCCGCATGCTATGGAAATGTTTGTGTCAAGGGAGATTGGCTGTGTTAGAGACAAAATCATATGCAGTTCATCCCTTCATGTCTGTAAATGGGTGGTTAGGTTTCCAGGTGGATGCAATGAAAAGGAATCACTCAGAAACTCCTCCCCTTCATTCAAATACTGGCATAAGAATGATTATGCAAGGTAACCTGAGCAGGCTTGCCAAAAGCCATAGACACTAACCCTTGGTGTCTGTCTAGAAATTTTCACCCTGTCTGCACAGGTTGCTGGTCCGTTTTTGTACTCGTATGAGAGGGAGTAGGGCATTATGGTGCAGCAACTGACAGTGATGTGACAGTTTTTTTTTTCTAGCAGGGAAAGCTTCTGTGCAGGTACCATCCCCCAAGCACTTTCCAGCCCCTAGGGAGCTGGGCTGAATGACACCCTGAGCTGGTGTGGGTACTCAGGAAGGTCAAGGGGAGTGGAAAGATGGAGGGAAGACCAGGTTTCGATCTAGAACTTCATCCTCATTTAAGGAGAGCCTGGCCCAGTTAGCCAAATAGTCACTGTTAAAGACTCCGGCCTCTAATGAAAATGTTGCACATAGCTCATGGGAAAGTGCAGCTCCTGCCTTTCTCCTTGTAGTCTCTCCTTGGAAGATGATTGGAGGGAGTGGAGTAGGTCTGGCTGTCATCCTAGCTGAACGTGCTTAGCTTGGGATGCTGTAGGTTCTGTCATCTGCCACCACCCCTGAGATGAGATACTGGCCACCAGAGAAGGGGTAAGGCAGGAGGGTGGCCCTACCAGCCACAGCAGCCACAGTGTAAACATCAGGAGGAGGGGGAATCAGTGATTCCCTTGTTCCCAAGGGGGACCCGGCCTGCCCGGCTCTTCTGCTGGCAGGTGGTGACCATGGAATTCCACACGAGTGTGAGAGCTGAGGCCTCCGCTGTTGAGACCTGGGGAACACGAGATGTTAGAGTATGGCCACACTGTGCATAGAGACTCTCACTGGCTTCCCTCTGGTTCTCAATTGCCCAGGGAGGAAACTGTGAGAGTTGACTGGAAGCTGAGGGTGTGTGGGTGGCCTTGCAGCTAGGCCCTGCTGTCTGCCTCCAGCTCCTGCACGTCCCTTCTGAGTCACAGGTGTGGCCAGAGCTGTACGATCCCTGCTGCAGGCTGCGCTGTCTGTGGCCAAGTATATGCGTGCGTGGTGGGGATGGGTAGGTCAGGGAGAATGAGCGACACAGGGAGTCGTGATCAGGTTTCAGCAAGCTCCAGGTGGGGCCTCAGGTGGGCGAGCATATTTGGCTTGTGAGTGAGAGCATCATTGTGTAGAATGTGAACACATGGTTCCATGACTCTGTTAACCACACTGCATTTGGGCCCATTTGTGCATCTCAATTCAAGCCTTGAGTTGACTCTGTGGTTTTGGCTGTGTGTAGGAACTTCATGCCTTAGTGCAGGAGAAAAGTAAAGGAGGAGAGGGGAGAGTGGAAGAACTCTATCAGTCTAAGGGTACACAATCCCCAAGTAAATACAGCTGTTGAGGATCAGCAGGTTTTGTGAGGTAAGCGTTTCTCCTTGAGCTGTAACCTGGCTGAAACACATGGCAAGGAGCTGTGCTCTGTTCAGCCTAAGTATTTTTCAAGAAGGTATTCTTTGACTGATTCCACAGCCCCAAACAGCTAATGCATTTCATCTGGATTTCATATACATTGGCCTAAGAGATCTTCCATAAAGTGTTGAACAAGAAGCACCATGGGAGAGAAGTATATTTAATATATGAAGTTTACATATGTGGTATATCTAGTATGTAAACATATCTGTTTTAGAAAAAATACTATATATGAGAAAGGTTGGTAAAATGTATCATAAATCATTAGCAGAAGTTATCTATGAAGGAATATAAATGTATTGTTTGTTTATGAGTGTTTGTAAGGGCAGCCTCTGCCTCTGTCTCAAATACATCTCATGGCGTTGGTTGGCATTGTGGTATCGCAGGTGAAACTGCCACCTGTTCCTGGCTTTGCTCTGGCCGAACCCTGGCTGTTATAGCCATCTGGAGAGTAAACCAGCTTGCTTTGCAAGGGGTGTGTGTGTGTCCCTCCTTTTAACTCTCTCAAGCAAATTAAAAAACCTTAAAGCTCTCTCATCCCTTCCTTCCTGTATTGAGGAGAACAGTCAGTGTTGCCTTCCAGGCTGTTCCCGGGACCCAACACCAGCTACCCTTTGTGGGGCCAGTAGGGAGGTGGGAATTTCTAGAAGGAGCCAGCTGATAGCTGCAGATCTGTGGAAGTTGATGGACTATGTGACACAAGCCATGGAGAGATGTGAGGGGCTTTTGGGGGGGCAGAGGGAGGAAGAAGGAAGCAGGGTGCCTGCTAGTTTGATTTTGCAGAGTGGAGGCAGGGATGGTGACAGTGGTGGGGTCGGGCTTTGCCTAATCCTGCTGAGGTGGAGACCTGAGGCCCCATGAGGGCCGCAAAGTGCTGGCCCTGCAAAAAGCCTTGCTCCATTCCTGGGCATCTGAAAACCTTAGCAACAGAGTGCGCTGTGTTTGCATGGTGCCAGCAGACAGGCCAGATAAGTGACCATGATTGACCCTGAAGTCTCACTCAGCTGATGATGTCTGCTGCAAGGCAAGGTGATTTCTGTGGCCTCTGAAAGCCAACGGGTCGGGCTGAACTACTTCTCTGTGCTGCTGTGAACTTGACTT